CCAAATGCTTTATAATATAGTATAGATATAACTATAATTAAAACGTAAAATAAAAATTATGACAATCAATGCATATACAATTAAAACTATAATTAATATATAACTAATTACAATCAATATAATAATATGTATAATGAATAGAAGTAAATTACAATTCATATATATGTAGAGAGAGAGGTAGAGAGAGAGGGGGGAGGTTTACTTTGCAAACCACGTTATTTGTACAAACTGTACAAACCTCATTCAACCAATCATAATTTTTCATTTTGTTCATTTTTTTGTAATTATGAGAGGTTGGTTAATCATTTTTATTGTGGAGAATGTTAATCATGGATATTATCATCTTCATTATTTTAATTTTAGATAAACACATGAAACAGTTCATTAAGTATTATATGAAACAATTTCATAATCATATATGAAACAAATTCATCAAAAAAGTATTATATGAAACACTTTCACAGGATTAAACAATTTCATGAAAAAATTTCGTAAGATTAAACAATGAAATCGACAGATGAGGGTGGTTTGCACGGTTTGTACAAATTAAGTGGTTTGCATTTAACCGCTTATATATATATATATATATATATATATTCAATTTTTTATTTATGTAAGTTCAAATCAAACTAGATATGATTAACACTAGAATCAATATAATACATATTTTTTTTTTTACATAACTTTATTAAAACCTCTTTTTTTCAGGATTTTTGTGATAAGCGGATTCTATATAAGAAAAGTTTTAGGGTAAATAAGTTGAGGGGTGTGTTTTGAAAATATATTTAAAAATATCTTAAATATCAACCGTCTCTTTCTAAATATATATATCTATACTATCTTAATATCCATTTACATCAAAATCTTAATTACAACATAACAAGCATAGAGTACTGCTTTTTGAGGCATGAAAACTGAAAATCTCTTAATTACTAATTATGATGCGTTAGGTACAAGTCATTGATGCAAGCTTTTTGAACTCTCCAACAACAAATATGGTAAACACCAATGTTTCTTTTTCAAAAAAAAAAAAAAATTCTTAAACGTTTCCCTTTCCTGCTTTCTATCAGGGAAGGTCAAAGAGTTAGTTTCTTAGTCACTCTTTTTCCTCTTCCCAAATTCATATATATCATATATGACGTATCATCAAACTTGGGGAAGGAAACAGCTTTTCTGAAGAGGTCACTTACAGATGTTACTTTTAAAGAAGAGGCTTTTTTTCCTCACTGGTTTGATGTATCAAGCATACTAGGATAGTTGTATTCAGTGGATCCAAATTAGTTGTAGCATATAATAAGTTGTAGGAGGTTTGGATTTTTTTTTTTTCATTTTTTAAACCCAACATCAGATGTAAGCTCCCAAGCTCCCATATCCTTCAACTTCAGCTCTAGGTAACAAGTTGAGTTTGAGTTTTATTTTGATTTTGATTTTGATTTTGTAGTGCACCACCTCTATTTTGGATCTTCATAAACACTGTATACTCGATTTATTATGTAGTTCACTACCCCTGTTTCGTTTTTTCTATTTAACTTTACAGGAAACATCGGCTCCATCATATAGGTTGAAGTTGCTCTCTTCTACTCTGTTCCATTTTGCTCTAGCTCGATTTAGCTCTAGGTAGTAAGGTACCTTGCTTTATACGAAAACCAACAATATGGTCACGTGGATGCACCAAATTCTGCCTTTTATAATAGTACTTTTTTAGCCTCTCTTTTTTGTTAATCCATTTTCCTTGGTCTGATAAAAAATGCAAAAAAATGAATGAACTGATAGCTAACATATTAAGGTATCTGTTTAGTTTTCAAGAGTGACAATCAGCCATATACCTTTAACATATTAAGGAATCTAAATCAGAAAATGCAGAAGAAGGTCCTCCATCCAGCAATACCCATATAAAATAATAGTATCAAGAAATCTGTAAAAGTATATATATATATATATATATATATATATATAACATCAAGGATTTCCATGCTCTGTTTCTTTTTTGGGTTTTAAGAAATAACCATAAGGCCATTGTTTCCAAGTTCTTGAACCTTCATTATAAGTCATTCACAAATATACTAACACAACTAAATAAGCAGGACTATGAGAATATTTGGACCAATCTTCCATTTGAATTATGCATACTACACATCTACGCTTGTATACATTAGAGCTGTTGAGGGATGAGATGATTCATCAAACTCGAACCATTTAACTCGTTAAAATGACAAGTTTAGTTAGACAACTATTTTTGATAAAATAGACAGGTTCAAACTGAATTGTTAAAGTTAATGTGCATGTCTTACTTAAAAGATGACTTTTTTGGGATTACGAAATCAGCTATTGTTTGGTCCTTTGTATGATATATGTTGCTCAACAACAACATTTTCTTCTCAAAAAAATTTAAATATATATAGATGTTGCCTAATATTTTTATTATAAGCATATATTTATATATTTCAAATAGATTCTGATTAGTGTAACAAACTTGTAGAAATAAACACTCCATATAATGTTGATGAGTTTTCATCGTTAAACGAAGTACATGCACGATGGAGCTTGACAAAAGTTTGTGTGGAYTTCGTTTGGGAAGATGTTAGGAGCAAAAACTACTCATTTTTTTTAATTGATCAAAACACAAGTTAAAAATATTCACATTTTAATTGCATGGTAAAAGAAATTTAAACTTATTTAAAATTTATTTTATTATATTTTAGACGAGAAAAATGGTAGCAATTGTTCATCATATCCCTTTAATTCAAATATACAACCAAATGAACTTGGTGGGAGGCGTTTTCTCTTTGAGTCGTTTCGGAATTGAATATAATCATGGTGATGTGAGAAACGAAGGTTATATGCTCACAATCAATGAATTTTACATCCTAATTTGCTGAAACACAACATTCATACCGTTGGTGGGGATGTCGAAAATGGGTTTTCGTTCCATCTGTTGGCGTCTTCTATAAGAATTCTTGTAAAAGATCGGAGTACACGAAAATTCATGATCGGTACATCTAAAATATTTGATACATTTATATTTTGAAAACAATGAAATCATGTTTGATAACGTAAATCTAATTTTTAAAATATGATAATTTTTGTTAGATGTTGTTAAGAAAATCATCATAGGTCGACGAGTAAGATGTTTCCGAACTCATGGTTATTTGCGATTTGGATGCTTTGAAATATTTCTCCAAGATGGACCGTAAGTGTGTATATTATTAACCAATTAACAAATTATCATAGTAACTAACATTTTTATTACTCATAATAGGAAAAATATAATAAAGATGAAGTTGTATGATTCGACACGATTCCGTTTTATGGAGATAGCCGTGCAATTGTAGATAATTCTATAATATATGAATCTCAAGTTAAACTCATCAATTTGCCTACTCGTACAATTGAAAGTACGTAACAAGTTGCTTTTATTTTTAAATATTCTATTTTATTATTTACATATTCCATTTTATCAAAAATGTATATTCGATTATTTTTTGAGTTCTACGAAGTTAACTACAACCGTGTTAGAATCACACATGCCAGAAGCAGATGCCGTTAGAATACTGATGACAAATAGGCAAGCGGTTGAGGCGCTCAATCGAACAATACAAGACATCATAGAGATGACACCCCCATTTGGCGGAAAGATAATGGTTTGGGGGTTAATTTTAGACAAGTATTACCAGTCGTGAGGCATGGAACCTAAGCACAAAATTTTATATTCCAGCTTACGGATGTCACCACTTTGGTCAACGATTAAAAAGATATGGTTAACGTTCAATATTTGAGCATGCACTGATCCGTGGTTTTCAGATTTTTTATTAAGAGTCGGTGTTGGAGATGAAGAAGCGATGGACGAGGGCGACATTGTAACATCCCCCGTCCCGTGGTCCGGAACGGACGGTGTCACTAACGAGACTTAATTCAAAGACACAAACATAACAGAGCTACTAATAAACTCTAAACGTAAATTAACTTTTGAAACATGCTTTACAACCCAAAATATTACATTCTAGCAACTATTTACAAGCTTAGAATATAATATATCTACAAACGAGTTTACAAACTCTGAAAATTAAACGTTCGATTTCAAGTCTCGTCCCTATCAGTATCACTTGGAACCTGTCGTGTTAAAAACAAGAACACGACTGAGCACGTGGCTCAGTGAACAGATTATAATATAAACTTGAAATAATAATACATACTTCATAAAACTCGAAACTACTTCAAAATATGATAATCAATTTAATAAACTTGAAAGATTCAAACATACAGTTCAATGGACTAAACTCAAGTATTCACGATAAAGATTCAAGAGTTTATATATATATATATATATATATATATACACACACACACACACATACATGTAATTTATTGACCACTTTTAAGCGATCAATCACAAAGTGGTGAACCACCATTACGAAGGCCAACTAAAACAACTAGTTGCCCAAAAGTTAAAGAAAGTGAAATCCGTACCTTAGACAGAAAACAGAAGTAAAGCACGATCAAATGAGATTCACGGTCAAGTTCGACTTGCTTGCGTGCCTAACGAATGCGCAAATTGGTTATTATTTAAACGACGTAAAATCATATCATAATTCTACTAATATACTACTTAGGTCCTACATGTTTATAAACAACTTAAACTTCAAATAGGACAACCGAATATGCATTGAGAAATCGACTCAACACTGAACTTTATATAATTTCGTTCCGACTTTTAACAACTTTTGGCTCTCATTTTCGTGAACATTTTTATCCCACTTAAATGTCAATACAAAAGATACTATCTAAATGAAAATTGTAATATGATATGTGATAAAACTATTAGTTTTAGAATCATCTCATTTGGATTATCCATCTATTTTATACGAATTTTATAAAACAACAAAACGAAAATGCAAACTCTAGGGACTATCTTGGAATAAACAAATTCTGGGGACTATGGCCAAGAAAAAATTAAAACCACAAGGACTAAATCTGTAAAATGCTCTTTTGGTAAAATAACTATTTGAAGTCGACGTATACCTAAATCCTAATTCATCAATTTCAATTTGTCCCAAGCTTCCCACCATAGAGAACGTTTTCCAGAGAAACCCTGCTATCGAAATCCGTTCGGACCTTTCGAGCTCACGCATAAACATCAGATTTCGGCGCTTTGACGTGGGTGAGCTATCAATTTCTTTAACATTTATCGCAGATTTTCTTTATACTCCTAATTATGTGGTTTCGAAATTGAAGTCGGTTGAAACGCGGGGCTAGTTTCTTCAGTGAAAATACTGAGACTAGATAATTTGGATTTATTTAGAACTACGGATTAGTGGAATTAAGATTTATGAATGCGTAAATATAAATCCGGGAACTAAGTACATTGCTTAAAGCGTCTTGCTGAACAACTGTTTATTGCAGGTGAATTATGGAATCATTATTGTTTGGTGTTTTTTAGGAGGATATTTGTTTGTATCTTGTCTGTATGATAACTTGCTGAGTATTGTTTATTTATGTGATTGGCATTACAAACACTCTTTCTATGACAGCTAAAACTCACTCTCATTCAATCTTGTGGACATCAGAGCGGCATATTACAATATGAAGCCGCATCCAGCATGGAGTTCGTTAAGAAACCCAGTTAAGTTCAGAATGTAAGTTCAGTCTCTGTGATCTGAAAGATTCCTGTTGTCCATAGGGCTTTCTTTAATCTCCTACTTTGAAAAATCAATTTGATATTTTCATCTTTGGCTTTTTGTCTATTCAGTTACTGCTGGTAAATTTGTAAGGATATGTAACCAGTTAACCATTTGAAATGCAGTCCAACTGCTGACAATCTGGTTCCCATTCGTCTTGATATCGATATAGATGGTCAGAGGTTCAGGGATACATTTACTTGGAACCCTTCTGGTAATACATAGATGCTGTTGATGTTACTTTATTTTTCTTATTTTTCCTTTGTTGGTTATAGTTTATGATTGGCATTCCCTTGAATTACTGCATTGAAGAAGTTTAACACTTTTATAGTACTATTGTGAAGAATATTGGTTAGTGTAAAGCGCACTCTAGTGCATGTGTTAAGCAGCAATCAACAAAAAATTTGGATGAATGTTGCACAATGGCATGCAAACATACAATATCATCCTGGAGAAGACCAGTGTAGTACTGCAGAAGCATTCCAGACATGAAACAAGCTAGTCTGAAATTTATTCCTGTGAGAAGTTTATGAAGCAAGACCAGAAGAAAAGACAGTAGCAAGTTTGAGGAATTTCTGACTGATACATATAAATAAATATGATAACGAAAAAACTAAGAGATAGTAGACAAATATAAGAAACTATCTCAATTGAGAACATGCTTAACTACTTGTCTACTTTCATGCACTTGCATTGCCACTAATTTGTTGTTTTGTTCTTTCTTTTATCTTCCACAAGTCGGCAAGGTGTATATATTACACTGCCGGCTTGCAGGAAGTGAGAATGAAGAAAACGTCTCAAGATTTATGAAGATATCTGTTGATCTCTGGACAGAAAAAACTGGGGTGTTATGAGCCGTTGGGTATTATTTTCACAATTAAAATGGCAATTCACTTCAGTGTGTTTGGTTCGTAAATGATGAACAGGATTCGTAGCAGGAGCACTATCACTACTTATTGGAGAAGTTGAACAGCATCTAGATCTCGAAGTAGACATACTAATTTCGCAGCTGTAATCAGCCATGAAGCAACATTTTGCTGCGGCAGAAGAATGAAAAACACCTACCGCCTCTTTGATCTCATGAAACTAGTGATGTTTTAAAACACACATTGCCCATAATGGACCTTTGATGATCTGTTATGAACTCGGTGGGTTTTTTATATGAGAAAACAAAACCAAAGGGAAAATTGTCCTCAAACTTGGATTGATTGAATTAAAAAGAAAAGAACTCTAGCAATTCGAGAGGCTAGTATCTCCATACAAGAACTCCATTTTCTGCATATCCCATGTTCTTCTTCCTCATCCCTATTTATGGAAATCCTATAGCCAATTAATCTAAGTATTACCCAAAATACCCTCCTACTAACAAACTTGACCAAAACCTCTGTTGCAATAGTCTATTCTTTGGTACCCTTTTCTCCATGCTGACCTGGCCTTTTCCTCCCACTATAAGTAATCGGATTGGTGGATGCTTAACATTACCCTGCCCTCAAAGAACCACATTGTCCTCAAGGTGGAAGTCAGGAAAAAATCTGTTGCATAGTAGCAAAAACTTCCCAAATAGCTTCGGAATCAGGTAAGTCCTTCCCCTTGAGAAAACTTCCTTTCATTGACCTAACGACCCGTTGCTGTGCTCATTGACCGAACCCGATGAGCTTGATGAGACGGGGTGGATCTCTACCAGATAGTGTGCGTTGAATGATGTACATGCAATTGAAGTATGACAATTCTGCCTAAAGTAACCACTGTACCCATTTTCGCAGACTGGATTGACTGAAACAAGATAGGTATATCTCATCCGATTTGTAAATGATTTCCGTTTGACCATTGGTTTGGGGGTGGTATGTTGTACTACTCAACATGACCACGCCCTGGAGGCGGAATAGCTTGCACCAAAAAATGCTCATAAACACTTTGTCTTGATTGGAGACAATATTAGAACCTTGAAGGGAACTAGCTCCTTGATGAATAAGGCAAGTAGGCAACCACTAAGGTTGCACTAAAGGATGTTCTAGTGCTAAAAATGGGCAAACTTTGTTAGTTGATCCACCACGACTAATCAGTATGTTGAACCCATTCGATCGGGGGACTCTCTCTATGAAATCCATCATTAATTCTTCCCAAACTTGTGCGGGTAAAGGTAGGGGATAAAGGAGCCTATCTAGATTAGTAGTCGATGCGCTTTGTTGTTGGTTGCGCCAAGCCCGAACATACTATTCAACCAAATGACGCATCCCGGCCCAAAACCTTTCTGATGCCAACCTCTGGTACTTTCTTAGTTCACCCGAATGCCCCTAATCACAGTCACGATATTCTTTAAAAAGTTTTGGAATAAAAACAGAATTGTGAAGGATCATGTAGACAGATTCGAATATAAGGAAAGGTGCTAAGTTGTTATACATAGACTCTAATAGAGTGTTAGACTCCAATAGAGAGTTGCTTTAGAATAGTCCTCATCTTTTTTCTCTCTTGTATATCTATATTTCTATATATCTATATATACATATATATATATATATATATATATATATATATATATATCTTCCTAGTATTGTAATTTATCAACACAGCAATATACAAATTCATATTCTCCTAAAGTCTTTAGATCACTAATATGCCCTTGTATAGTAAATACCCCCCGTGTCACAAAAACCTCACATGCATCTTTTCCTTTACCTATATATCATGTTGCACTAGTTTAATAAGGGGGTCTACCTCAATTTCTTTGGTTAATGAACAAAGAAGCCAAGAAATATTATTTCTTTGTTATCTTTACAAAATAGGGAATACAAGCAATATATAGACAAGGAGCTAGCTAAAAAGAGAAAGAATTAAGGGAAATAAAAAAGATTAAGGAAATCAATTAGTGATTCCTTATTACAACAAAATATTCACATCATAACTTCCTAATATACTTTCCAGCACTCCTCCTCAAGCTGTGGAATAGATATCATCAATCATTCCCAGTTTACCAACTAAAGCTGCAAAATCTGATTTGGAGAGTGCCTTAGTAAGAATGTCTACTTTTTGCTGCTTTGATGGAACATAGGAAATCAAACTTGTCCCTGAATCAATTTCTTTTATAGAACTCCTATCGATTCTCACATGCTTCATTCGATCATGCTGGATAGGGTTGTGAACTATACCTTTTGCTGATTTGTTGTGACTATATAGCTTTATAGACTGTTTATAGGAACCTTTAGGTCTCTCAAAAGCTTCTCTATCCAGATTAGTTCACAGACCCCTTGAGCAATTGCTCGGTACTCTGCCTCAGCAGTGTTTCTTGCCACTAATGATTGCTTTTTGCTTCGCCAAGTAACTAGATTTCCCCATACTTTTGTGCATTAACCTGTTGTGGACTTACTGTCTTTTGATCCACCCCAGTCAGCATCTGCAAATCCATTTACATCTTGTTCCTTTCCTTTCTTAAACAAAATTCCCTTGCCTAGAGTTCCTTTGAGGTACTTTAAAATTCTGTTAGCTGCTTCTAAATGTCTTTTAGTGGAACAATGATAAACTGACTTAATACACTCACACTATGGGTAGTATCGAGCCTTGGGAATGTGAGATATATTAGCTTTCCCACCAATCTTTGTATCTACCCTGGTCGCCTAGAGTGTCATCATTAATAACCTTTTCCTTCCAATTTCTTTCCAATGGTGTAGCAGCAGGCTTGCAAACAGTTTTGCAGTTTCCCATAGCAAATCAAGGGTATATTTTCTTTGAGTAACAAATGTTCCTTGTTTGCTCCGAGTAACCTCCATTCCAAGGAAGTACTTCAATGCTCCCAGGTCTTTAACTTGAAATTGAATCTCTAAGTGAGCTTTTAACCTATTGATCTCTTCTTGGTCATAACCAGTGATTACCATATCATCCACGTACACAATGAGAATATCCCTCTTTCCACTTTCTTCTTGCTTGATGAACAACTAGTGGTCTACTTGTCCTTGTTTATACCCAAGAGACTTCATTACCGAACAAAACCTGGTGAACCAAGCTCGTGGTGACTGCTTTAGTCCATAGATGTACTTTTTGAGTCTACACACCTTGGTATTTTTCATCATGACACCCTGGAGGCATCTTCATGAATACTTCCTCTTCCAGTTCTCTATTTAGGAAGGCATTTCTTATGTCTAGTGGATAGACTTCCCAATCAAGGTTTGTAGCAAGATAAAGTAATACCTTGATTGAGTTCTGACAAGAAAGATGAATTGAATAATGATTTTCACTCTATCCTTTGATTATACAAGGCCCTATATATAGGGTATTTACAAGAGATAATAGGGAAACTAAATCAAGGAAATCATGGAAAAGATATAGGAAAGATAATGATAAAGAAGGTAACAATATTCCATAATTATAGAAACTATATTCCATAATTATTGGGATTCCTCCTGGTCTATAATATGTACATTTTGACACTCCCTCTCAAGCTGAGGAATAGATGTCTTCCAATCCCAGCTTAAAAATAAGACCATGAAAACTCGAATAATTTAGGCCTTCTGTTAGAACATCAACTAGTTGACTCTTTGAGGGCACACTAATCCTCGTTCCAGTTTCTCTTTAATGAAATGCCAATCTATTTCTATATGCTGTCCTATCATGTTGAACAGGATTATGAGCAATATTAATAGCAGACTTGTTGTCACAATAGAGCTTCATAGGACCTTCCCATTTGATTTGTAAATCATTTATAATAATTTTCAACCATAATAACTGATATAATCCATGAGAAATGGCCCTAAACTCTGGTTCTATAGAAGACATTGCCACCACATTTTGCTTCTTGCTTCTCCATGTCACCAGATTACCTCCAAGGAAAATGCAATATTCTGAGGTCGATCTATAATCCAATTTAGAACCAGGGTAATCAACATCGGTGTAGGCTTCGAGAGTAAGAGTTTCATTCTTCTTAAATAGAATGCCCTTCTCTGTATTACCTTTCAGGTAATACAGTACCCTATAGGTTGCTTGAAGATGAGGTTCTCTTGGATCATGCATTAACTGACTAATTACACTCACCGAGTAAGCTGAGTGTGAGCAAGATATATCAATTTGCCAACCAGCGTCTGGTACATTCTCTTGTCAACCGTCGGTGCTTCTTTAGCTTCACTCAACTTATGGTTCTGGTCAATTGGTGTAGATACTGGCTTACACCCATTCTTTCATGTTTCTATCAATAAATTGGTCACATACTTCTGTTGAGATACGAAG